AAAGTTTAAGTAGAAGAATAATATTAGCGGGTAGGTGAGTTGAAGATATAGAAGTATTTATTTCTAATATAGTTTAAAATGGCAACAGCTTTTTTATATTAATTTTTTTATAAGAAGTAGTGAGGGTAGTACGGGGTTAAATTCTTTAAGTTACTTTATTTATATTTAAACAAGAATTTGGTTCTTATTAGTTAATTTTATATTTGTATTTTTGAAAGTATTGAAAGTGTCAATGCGCAGTTATTTCGCCGTTGAGTATAATTTAAGAGATTGAAAGTAATATAGTTAGTAAAATAATAAAATAGTGGTTAATAAGAAAAATGAAGAAAAGGAGGAGAAAATTAAACTTTTAATTCTCTAACGAAAGTCGTCCAAATAAAACTATATTTGCTATATTAAATAAATTACTTTGAAACTTTTTAGTAATAACTTTTAATAAACGAAAACTGTCACGGCGCTAGCAGACCACTACATCAATAGGCTATGTTTCAAAAGGATACAAGTAACCAAATCTGGCAATTCGGTCACTCAAGTGGTCTTATATAGCTGCGATGGCAGTCAAGAGGCACAACTACAAGGCTACCATCACAAAAATACTCTAATATTAAGCAATTATATTATATAAGTAAAGTATAAAACTAATACTATTAGTACAAAGTCGAAAGTCTTAGTAATACTTTTCAATATCTATATCATAATAATTGCTAAATTTATTAATAATTAATAATTAATCGATAAGTTTATATATTCGTTTGAATCTAATACTATCATTAGTATAATTCAGTAGTTTCTTTCTTGGAAAATTAATTTGATATTAATTATAACTATAATAATTTATAGGAGGGATAGCTCAGTTGAGAAGATCTGAGCTTGGTTTACCTTCGGTATCATCTGAAAGATCGTGGGTTTGAATCCTGCTCCTCTCACTTCCATCCGGTTTTTAAAAATCGGATGGAATCTTCCCTGCTTTCTTAGTTATAAGAGGCGTTAAAGATGATGTTAGGCTCACTCTAGTCCTTAGCTTACCTATGGATACACATGGCTAGGCACGTATAGAAAAATCTCTTCCTTGAGCTTAGTAATATGAGTTGCGGTATTACTAAGCCAACTAATAAGGGTTCTCAAGACTGGAACCTTAATAAATCCAATTGACCAATCGCTATCTCTCTCACCAAAAATCTCGGCCTTACAATGCTTTACAGGCAGCCGACCGGCTAATCGGCGAAGAAATTCAGTACCACGAGTAAGACTCCTCCTCCTCCACCCCTAAACCCTAAAGATAGGATAAAAGAAAAATCACCCGGCGCATACTCGAGGCAACCGAAGCGTAAAGTGGAGGGCGGAGTCTCAGTATACCAGCCAATTAGAAGTAACGAGGTTCATTGGGAAAAAAAAACAATAAGAATGGACTACAAACATTGAAGCAACCACGGCTCCTCGGGCTCCCATGGTAAGACGGGATGAAAGTTCGGATTTAAGGTTACGGTTGAAAATGGAGAAGCTGAGGGTTTTCATTCAGTATTCAACAACACGGTTTTTCTCTTAGACTAAGAAAGGAAGCAGCACCGCTTACTTATTAGATAGACTATATAAATAATTCCAGTGTAATAAGATAATATATATATATTAACTTATTAAAAAAACCTCCTCTTTCTTCTCATTTTTCTCTCTTTACGTACACACATTGTTTAGTTGTTTTACTACTACTATAACTATTTCATATATTATCAAAAATTCACTTTAAAAATTAAACATTATATAAGTCACAGTAGCGTTTTCTTCAGCGCTAATTAATAAGCGTAGCTTTTCCAACGAGCGTTTTAATATAGCGAATTTTTTAAATTTGCATACGGACTTTATATAACAGTTAATCAATATATAAGATTCTTCTGTAATAGTAGTAATATTTTTAATAAGCGGTAGTTTAGTAGTTTTATTGCGAAGAGTATTAAATCAATCGTAGGTAGCTAAATATATACGGGTACTTTTGTACCTAAGAGGTGTTTCTCCTAATTTCTTAAAATATTCATCGAAATTAATAGTTACTACACAATGAATTAGCGATTTATTTAATAATTCATAAGTATATAAATTACTTACTCTTCCCTATGGATTTATAATAGAAAGTAATATATTATATTGCAGTTATAAGTTCAAAATTACAATATAAATAAGAAGTTTTGCGTAGCGTTAATAAGCGATTTGATATGCGATTAATTGGGATTGTCCTATAATATTTTGCTTTCCCATTGAAAAATTTCCTTCTCTTTTCTAAAAGGGGGTTAGCAAAAAGTCCCACTTTTCCCTTGACCGCCAAGTACAACGGTTCAGCCCCTTATTGACTGCCCCTGGGTCCACTGCATTGTTCCCTCCCGTTTGCCTCGACGTCACTACAGCGTACAGCGTCTACCTTAATACTGAACGATGAGGTCCAAGCTGCCCGGGCTCTGCTCTAGGCAAGTGCGCCCCTGTTCCCGTCTTAACCAGAGGTTCACATGTCACTACTTCTTGCCTTCATCAATCCGGCACTCACAGATTGAATCTCATGGGCTGATCCGAGTCTCGAAAACACAGACGACGGGACACTAGTTCTAGTGTACACTATGGTTGGTGGTGCTGGATGAAGGCAAGTTCTCAACGGTCGGACGGTCGGTCCGGTGCTGATCACATACGTGGGACGGCATGCCACAACGGTTACCACGGGCTCTGCTCGGCCGTGGTGTGCAACAAGTCTGCATTGTGCATTCATTGTGCAGCAGCCCTACGACACTAAAGAGCCACCTGAAAATTTCGACTTGGTTCGCTTCCACTTGCAGTGGTGCAGCTGGAGAGCTGAGGCACAAGATGGAGGTCATTCCACCGTCGCCGAAAGCCGGCCGTCAGTATCCGGTCCACATCCCGATGGTGCAACTGGAGGTGCGACCCGCTCTTCTTGTTATCGAAAGAGTCATTCGTTCCTGAAAGATTGACCAGAGTTACTCATCGGTTGATTCCCAGTCGCACCCTCCGAGTCCGATCGCCTCATAAGGACCGACACATACTGAATGCACCGCGCAGTTTGTTTTGCTTCCACTCTGGTTCCGTCCCATCATCCATCACCACCTCGAACAAACCAGGCCACCACCAACAACCACAACCATGTCGATCCCCGTGGTAACCACCATTGAGCTCCAGTCGCTGCCCAAGCTGACCAGCGGCAAGGTCCGCGACCTGTATGAGATTGATGACAAGACGCTGCTATTCGTTACCACCGACCGCATTTCGGCATACGATGTCATCATGGCCAATGGTGTTCCCCAGAAGGGTGCCATCCTCACACAGCTCACGGCTCACTGGTTCAAGGTCCTCAAGGAGCGGATCCCAGACCTCAAGACGCACTTCATCAGCCTCACCCCTCCTCCCTCGGTCAGCGACCAAGACAAGGCCTTGATCCGGGGCCGTAGCATGCAGGTCCGGAGGCTCAAGGTTTTCCCCATCGAAGCTATCGTCCGTGGCTATATTACTGGTAGCGCCTGGAACGAATATCAGAAGACGGGTACCGTCCACGGCATCTCGGTGCCTGCCGGTCTCCAGCAATGCTCTCCCTTTCCCAAGCCCCTGTACACCCCGAGCACCAAGGCCGAGCTGGGCGACCACGACGAGAACATTTCCCCCGAAAAGGCCGCCGAAATTGTTGGGGAAAAGTACGCGGCGCGCATTGAGGAATTGGCTCTCAAGGTTTACACCACCGCCGCCGAGTATGCACGGGAGCACGGCATTATCATTGCCGACACCAAGTTCGAATTCGGCCTGGACGAGGAGACGGACGACATTGTGCTCATTGACGAGGTCTTGACCCCTGACTCGTCGCGCTTCTGGCCGGCCAGCGAGTACGAGGTTGGACGGGACCAGGACAGTTTCGACAAGCAGTTCCTGCGCAACTGGCTCACTAAGGAGGGCTCAAGGCCAAGGACGGCGTCGAGATGCCTCAGGAGATTGCCCAAGCTACGAGCGCCAGGTACAAGGAGGCTTTCAAGCTGCTTACGGGCAAGACGCTGGAGGAAGCCCTTGCTGAGCTTTAAGCGATCTCCGATATGTGGTTCGTTTTGTTGGGTTTACGGTTTGCTATTATTGGGTCGGTATTTTGCTAAGAAAAGGAGGTCTGGGGAAAGACTATCAAAAGGTTCGACACTGCGGCGGAATTACCGGATACGCTTGAAAAGGTATCGCGCAGAAGGCTGGGAATGGGTATACTATACACAGAAACAGACGAGGCGTGCGGGTTGCACTATCTAGATACAACAGATTTATTAGACGGGGTGGGAAAACAGAGCGTGCGGTTCTCAAGCAGAGAGTTTGTTGTCAACCGGTTATTGACGACCACCAGTCCAGGCTGGCAGAAAACTACACCTACTCAAGCCAACAAACCTACTAACAAGATGGCTAACTCATTGAGCTGTGAGTTGTTTGTGACATGTGTAGCGCAACCACTATAGGGGTAGACATCCTTTATATCTAGGCGAAGAGTCGAGAGAGTCACTCGGTGGAAACCAGTCAAAGACTCGTATTCTCGAAAAGGGGTCCTTTGTTTATTTTGGGAGTTTTGCAAATCATCATCAAGTGATGCGGCTAATCAACTCGTTGAGCTGGCATGTGAGCTCCAAAATCTCAACCGCCGACCCTCAGATCTGCGGCCACGATTCCGGCCTGCCCGCCCGCTATTACTCCCGCCATCCCACCCAAATGAGCAGCCACCCGGCAGTGCATTATGGCGGAAGGTTCTGTTAATGCAGGCTTTCAGGGAAGCTACTAGCAGCTGTCCATCGTCTGAGGGGGTGCAGAGGGAAGGTAGGTACCTCTTGCCTTTAGGTAGGTCCAATACACAATGGTACAGTGAGTCGCACCTCCGATCTTTATGACAGACAGCATCATCAATTTGTGACGGTCGGTGACGAACGGGGCGTCTCATTGACGGCTGGCCAGTGACACTGCAGCCCAAAACCTAAAGAAAAAAAGAAGCCAAGACGCCAAACCAAATCGGGCTGCGATCGCCTTCTCCCATTGTACCTTGGTGTACTGTGGTAGGGATTTTGGAGCATCTTGCACAATTCGGTTGCATTTCCCACTGGATGCTTTTCCCATCCGTGCCCATCCACCATCCACCCACTTTCTCCATTCAATTTTGCACGGTACGTGTACACTACAGCATGCACCAAAAAAAGGACTCTACCGTCTCCAGAAGTCTCCAGAGTCTCCAGCTACCCCCGTTTGCTCTTTTTCTCGTCAGTGACACAACCTTGCCCGTTTTGGACCCTACATTTGCCATACACATTTTCTGGACTTCTCTCCAATTTCATTGAGTCCAAGATTATTGACCACTAACCTTGCCGCGGACGGGATACCTTCAACTGCCACCTAGCCTGAGCCCAATTCAACCTCAACAACACCAAGGAAACCAGAGAGACGATACTTATCAAAACATCAACTGCCCATCTCCTACCGACCTCACCTTATCCGACAACCATACTCCAGGCCTTATCCCCGGACTCCCGATTACTCACCGGATAACCTGACGGGGTTATTACCTGACTGGCCCCGGCCTTCAAACGCTCGCCAACCCTGAACCCAAGGCTGGAAACGTGGAACCTCAATTCGCCTTTACCCCATATCTCACCTCCACTAATCATCCCATGTCTTCCACTGCTCGCGCGCCTACACATGGGGTATCGTGCTAGCACCGAATAGCACCGGGCCTACAGCAGCAGAATACTACGATACGCCACGATAGACGTGAACCCCAAAACTCCAAGGACCTCCAAGGTCCCCTCCTGTCGGTCCCCAGTCCCCCGACTCCCCGGACCATCTCACCACACTACTATCGTCACCACCTTTTTCGCCAGATCCCGTGTCGGCTATCCTGAGGCTGCGCCTGCTACACCACCAACCAAATCTTCTCCGTCCTGTCGCCCGTGTGACCTTTTCTAGGTTCACCTGCCGGGGCTTGTTTTAGCTCTCGAGTTCCTGTTTCTTTCTTATTCGGAAAGGATAGGTGGGTAGCGGATATTCCTAAAGTCCTTTCAAGAGGTTCACAATAAGGTATCCCATCCCAATCCATCCTATCCTTTGACCATCAACACCCAAAGCGGGAACGAACGACGGGAAGCCTGCAGTCATCCTGGAGATCAAGGAAAAATTGTGACCTCGCTCGAATATCAAATGCGTCTCTGCGCGCCTTCGCCAACAACAGCACTACGACTACTACTACTACTACTACTACCATCACCACCACCGCCCAGCTTCCCCCAAAGAAACTACTACCTGCTGGTGTCTCACTCCAGCTTCCAGTTCTGCCTCTGTCCCTACCCTTGATCATATCGAGGCGCCCGTGTCTACGTCTAGGTTCTAAAGTTGTAGATCGCAGAAGTCGCAAGTCACATTCGCTCTTTTTTTGCTTACAGTACCACTTCGCTTCCGATTCTGGCTCCTTGGCTCACCCACGCCGCGCCGGTCACCACCGAGAGGAGGTATATCGAGAGAAAAGCTATCCGTATCGTGTGTCCCAGATCCCGCCTTCGTATCAAACATATCACTTTCCTCGTTGGGTATCCCACCCCTGGCTTGGGTGGCTTGGTGGATCGCCAGTTGCAACGTCAAGTCCAGTCCCGTCCAGTCTTCTCAGGCTGTCCAGCCGCAGCGCCGTGCCGGTTGGAAAGCAAGCGAGGCCCCGGCAGCAGTTGAGTCATACTGAGACGACGACCGTGACAGACCCCGTCCCAACAGGAACTTCTTCTCCCTGCCGGCGGAAATAATGCATCCGTCCTTCCTGACCTCCGGCATCATCGATCTGCTCGAGGCCGACCAGCGCCCATCGTTCATCGTCGCTCTAACCCCGCACCCGCCCACCATCGTTTACACGAATCCCGCCCTCGATGCCGATGCCCGCCTCCAGGATGCCATCACCACACGCAAGCGCAACAATGTCCAGCTGTGGGAATGGCTCACAGACCTGCCCGGCGCCTGCCCCAGTGGCACTGGCCAGGCAGCCGCCAACTTCTCCTTCATGAACATTTACTGGACCCGTACCATTGTCCGCCCTGACATGGTCGTCGTGGGCGCAAACGACCAGCCGCCCTCCTCTGAACCACCGCGCAAGATTCTGGTCGACGAAGTACCGCATGTCGAAAGCATTGTCCCGCCCCCGGTGCGCCTAATTCCCGTCAAAGACGATGCGCCAGAGTCAACGCAGACAACTGCTGCTCCTACGGCTAGTATCACCACCGTTGCGGCTACCCCTGCAGTGCCATCCTTAACGTCATCACTGAGCCTGGCACCTCCCGACTACATATCCCTTAGCCGGACGAAATCTGGACCACCAACCCTTCCTTTGGGCTCAGCCGAGTACCCGCTGGCTTCTCCAGAGATGATCCAGTCTCTCAAACGTTCAACTACGGACCCGGGTTGGATTCTACCAGACATATTGCCAGGTACGCGTCTCTGCCCTTTGTATTGGCCAAGTCATGGCACCATGAGTCTCGAGCTGACCTCTTGGTGATGAAAGAAACACGGTCATTCCTCGAAGTGATACACAGTGTCAATTGGGCCGCAACACCACTGGGCCCCATGAAAGGCTGGCCACCAACTTTGGAACAGACCTTCCACCAAATCCTCGCTGACAGTCGCCCCATTGCCATCTACTGGGGCGCCAACTATGTGACCCTTTACAACGAGGCATTCAGCAAACTATGCGGTTCGAAGCACCCATCACTACTCGGAATGACTGTGGAGAACGCGTGGCAGGAAGCCGGCGAACAGTTGAAGGATGCCATGTCGCGTATAGCACGGAAAGAAGACCCGACGATTGAGGATGAGTGGAGATTCTTTATCGAAAGGGAACCCGAGGTGGAAGGAGGTCCTCCTTGGCTCGAAGAGACGTACTTGAAATGGTCTCTCGTCCCTATTCTTGAAAAGGAACGGTGCGTCGGATTCATCCATCCAGTTGGGGATACGACTAGTGTACGACTGTGGGAGCGTCGCATGCAGATGCTCGTTGACCTTGGTGAGGACTTGGTTGCCGCACGAGATGTGAACGGCTACTGGGACAAGACACTCCAGGAACTAGCCGACGTCGATCCTTGTTACGATATACCACTTGCTATTCTGTATAGCGTGGAGGCCTTTGAAGAAGGAAGCGGTATGGAAATTGGCAACGATGGCCCCGCAAAGCAATGCAGGCTGGCCGGAGCTTTGGGGGTGCCAGAAGGCCATCCCATTGCCCAAACCGCGATCAACCTAAGTACCAACAAGCATGCTCTAGCACCAGCGCTTAGAGAGGCAGTAACGGCACCGCAGCCCCTTCTTCTTCAAACCAAGGACGGCACGCTCCCGCAGGAGTATCTCCGTGGTCTGCAGACGAGAGGTTTCAAGGATGATCCGTGTCGGGCTGTCGTGATTATGCCAATTCGGCCGCCAAAGGAGGATGCTATGGGGATTCTATTGCTGGGTCTGAATCCGAGGCGCCCTTACGACAACGACTATCGTCAGTACATACTACTCTTGAGTCAGAAACTTACTACTTCTCTTGCCTCAGTGGTCCTTCTCGAGGAGGAAGCACGGAGGGGGCGCAATGCGGCAGAGCAGGCTGCTTATGATCAAGCCATGCTCAAAGAAAAGCTGGCTGTCCAGACAAAGGAGGCGAACGAGTCGATAAAGATGTTTGAAGCGCTTGCCGAATTCGTTCCGGTCGGCATGTGTTTCGGAGATCCTCAAGGGAACATCACCTTTGCGAATGACGCCTGGTATAAGATAACGGGCTTCCCAGGAAATGGCCCCATCGCAAACAATGGCTTCCTTGCCTGCGTCAAGGAGGAGGACCGCCAGAACATTGTCACCGCATACGAGAAACTGAAGACGGAGCGTTACGTTGAATACGAATTCAGGGTACAGCGACAGAACCACACCGATGTCGCCCCATCTCTAACGCGAAATTCCCCGAGCTTCGAGAAAGCAGGCCTGGATTTTGTCCCCATCGACCAGTCTAAGGAACGTCATGTCTTTGCCACCGCCAAAGCAGAGCGTGCCCCAGATGGAAGCGTAATTCGGACCATGACATGCTTGACGGACGTTACGGCACACAAGCATGCTGCAGAAGAGGCGGTTCGGCGCGCGCAGCAGGCCGAAAATCTCAAGAGGATGGCTGAATTCGCAACGGTTGGCATGTATGATATGGACCTTGAGGGACGCCTTTTGGGCGCCAACAATGTTTTCTACGAAATGTGCGGGTTACAGAAGGTTGACCCCACCGAGGTGACTATTAGGCCGTTGGAGACAGGCGTCTGGGCAGAGGATGTGGGCTTGGTGATGAAGAAGCTCAAGAGGATGGTCATAGAGGATAAAGTCCAGAATGTGGAAGTCAGACTCCGGACGACGTGGACCGCCGATGACGGTGCAGGCCACAAAGTGGTCATGCCACGATGGGTACAAGCGACTCTGATGCCTGTGCGGTCGACCGAGGGTGTCATGCAAAGCTTCACCGGCTGTCTGAGTGACGTCTCGCTACAAAAGTGGCAGTTGGATAGGGAGAAGCAACGGAAGGAGGAGGCAATCGAGTCCAAGCGCCAGCAGGAGAACTTCATCGACATGACTTCCCATGAGATGCGCAACCCCTTGAGCGCGATCATTCACTGCGCAGACGCCATTACCGCCACGCTGTCGCGCGTCCAGGAGCTTGTCGGTGGCGACCATCATGGGAGCGACAGCGATGCGCGGAGCTACGCCAGCGAAGGTGCTACAGACAACCAGCCAAATCACGAGCTTCGCGCAGAAGTTTGTGAACTTTTGGATAACGGCATCGACAGTGCAGAGACTATTGTTGGGTGTGCTCAACATCAGAAGCGCATTGTTGACGATATTCTCACAATGTCGAAGCTCGACTCCAAGCTGTTGGCTATCACACCCATCACCGTGAACCCGATTCAGATGGTCAAAGAAGCACTCAAAATGTTCGAAGTCGAGGCTCGAAGAGTCGATATCGACCTAAGCATGGTTGTCGACCAGTCATATTACGACCTTGGCGTCAAATACCTGGATTTTGACCCCTCACGTCTAAAACAGGTTCTCATCAATCTGCTGACCAACGCTCTTAAATTCACCAAGACTGGTCCGACCCGCAATGTTACCGTCGGCATTAGTGCAAGCTTGACACGTCCAACCGAGGCCACCAGTTCGGTGCAGTTCATTCCGAGGTCGAAAGAGAGTTACGCCGAGGATAGCGACGCAGCAAGTGTTCATGACCGTGGAGAACCCATGTTCCTCACCTTCGAGGTCAAAGACACGGGCCAGGGTCTGACGGAAGAGGAGAAGAAGAGCCTCTTCCAGCGCTTCGTCCAGGCGTCTAGCCGCACCCATGTCAAGTACGGAGGCTCAGGTCTTGGGCTGTTCATCAGCCGTCGGCTCACGGAACTGCAGAACGGTGCCATTGGGGTGGCCAGTCAGCCAGGTGTCGGTAGTACCTTTGCTTTCTATATCGAGGCCTACCGCCCCAGCGAGAGCTCTCTCCGTGATGCTGAGGCAACTGCGGTGGCTGCGAAGGCTGCCATGTCAGACTTGATGGCCAAGGCTCCAAACCTTCGCTCCATGCGCCCCAACAATCCACATAGAGCTTCGACATCGTCACCACGGCCAAGCCCAACAGCATCCAGTCCTGTGGTTGAGCTTGGTGGGTTGACGATACCACCACCCCAGATTCGCGGAATCATGGTCGTTGAAGACAACTTGATTAACCAGCAGATCACGCGACGTGGTCTCACCAGCATGGGATTCACTGTTGATGTAGCAAACCACGGCCTAGAATGTCTTGATAAACTGCAACGGACTGACCGATACGTGAGCAACGAGAGTTCCAGCACTGCCCTTCCCATGAACGGCAATACCAACAACAAAAGCGCCATTCCCGCTACGAATGGGACCATCAACTTACCACCTCCGGTCAATAGTGGTTTCTTGAACCAAAGCCAAGCACCCATAGCAACAACAACAACCACACCTGGCACAAAGTTCCCCCTGTCAGTCATCCTCATGGACATTGAAATGCCTGTCCAGGACGGACTCACATGCACGCGCAACATTCGCGAACTGGAGCGCCAGGGCAAGATTACGGGCGGGAGGCTACCAATCATAGCCGTCAGTGCCAACGCGCGCATAGAGCAGATCCTCGAGGCCAAGGAGGCTGGATGCGACGATGTCCTGATCAAGCCGTATCGGATGCCAGAACTGTTGGAAAAGATGCGGATCGTCATGGGGACTGTTGCTCATGCTGGTGCTGGTGCTGGTGCTGGTGCTGTGCTGCTGGTGCTGGTGCTGCTGGTGCTGCTGGTGCTGGACAGACGGGCTTAGGTTCATCGTCGGCTGCTGCTTCAGGGTCAGGCTCGCCAGGCGGATTCAGTGGGCTCGGCGAATCTGTTGTTCAAGGACAAAAACACACACAGCCGGGGTCGCAGGCAGACCAATCAAAGAAACAGAAACAGGATACATTAGCGCGAACGGAGACAAAAGATCAACGTAGCCAGCGGCAGGAAGGAAGCGAAGAGCGTGGAAGTCAGCCTAGCAAGCAGGTAGCTGGACACTCACAGGAGCAGGCGGAGGCGCAGACACATACGCAGACGCAGGCACAGTTACCAGACGGCAAGCCTGTCGAACCACAACGACGGTCCCCTTCCCCAAAGCAAACGACACAAACCAAGGTGGAGCTGGTACCGATGCAACTGAGTCCGTGACTCGGGGGACGGCAGAGACCTCGAAGTCGGTGGATAGGGCCCAGAGGGTTAGGCGTGTCGGCTTGGGGATGGTTAGGTTTCAAGGTTTGGGAATTGGAGGTGGATGAATGAAAGCTTTGGAACAGTGGAGAGAGGAGGGGAGCAGAAAAGAGAAAACTCGGTCATCGTTGTCGATTGTCTGTTTGTCGGCTCTTGTGTTATTGTTGGGTGGTGTTGTTGTTTTTGTTGTTGGAAGAACAATCGCTGGGCCAGAGCCAGCTAGAGCCAGCCAGAGCCAGGAAAAGGATACCCGCAGTACAATACAATGCTAGTTTGTTTGTTAGTTCGGTACACCTATTATATTGGACAAGATCTATCCCAAACTGTCGTAAACCTTATAATGATGATCTTTAATGGCCAAGTACAATTTGAAAAGGCATTGATAAGAGTCAGGAGGGTATATGCAATATTACATTACGCTTTTGATATGGGCCGAAAGGGATTATTTAGGCATGTAAACGCTTAGGAAGAATGACTGGAGGTCTCGAGCTAACAAATAAATTAGTAATGGATTGTACAGTTTGTCTGCTTTCTTGATGTTGATGCTGTTCTTCTGTTTGTCTGTTTCCGTTGTCTTCATCGTCGCGCCTTGCCTTGTGTTCCTCCTTCTCTTCGTCGTTGTTCCTCTGGCATTCCGTTCGGGTATGGATCTGATCGAACGGTGTTCCTCACTGGCGTTGTTGTCTGCATTTTCCCTTGGATTCGGAAACTGTTCTATCAGAAAGGGTTGACGCCGTGCCCGTTCGTGTCTGCGAACAAAACATAACATACCTTACTTAAGCGGACGTCGCTGGTCAGCTCAGCTATCAGCCTGATATGGAGACATTAGCTTCATATACATGATGTATGCACAATGTTCCCTGCACGAGTTGATATGGCCGTAGGTAAGGTATGCACGCATGGTGTCTGGCCCGAACATGTCGTGTTCATGTATGCAAGAATGAGATGGTTGGTACGGTATTTGTTAACTCCAAACGTCTTATTTCTTCCACTTTCAACCAGACTTCGTTTTCCACTGCTTCTCAAAAGCAATGAATGTACCACCGTCGATATGGAATTTCCCCAACGTTCAACTCCTGTGGCATAATGATAGGTTCGTTATCACATCCATTAATTAGGGTGTTCGCGTGCAAATCCCGAGAGCTTGATGATACTGAATGATACTGAATGATAAATAAAGATATGTTGATTTCTTCTAGACACGCGTGACTTGTCGGTATTCATAGAATCACTCGAGACATACGAGGTGCAGCCAGAGCCGGGTATTGCAGATCGTGGCTTTAACTCTGCATATATATCTGCCCGAGCCGCGTTACCGTTCTCGGGTTCCTGTCATGTCAGCCAGCCACTCCAGCCAGCCAGCTAGCTGCCAGGGCGAACGGATGACAAGAACGGGGGAAGAGGTTTCACGATTTTTGAGTGATCTAAGTGACAGGGAGGGATGGATCGCCGCTTTTGAACCTCCGACTTCCCGACTTTCGACTCCCTACCTCCATTTGATCACTGGCGTGTTGGTGTCCCAACTGTCCCGATTGTCGCGCCACTTGAACAACTTTTTAATACAGATGCCGGCGCATTTGAGATGTTGTAACTCGAGGAAGGCTCCCTTCAAGCACATTCTGGGAAGCATCAAAGTGTCTCACTCACTCCATGGCGGCTCGGTCGATTCAAGTAACTCATGATGCCCTTGCTCATGGCATGGCATGCAGTGTAGAAACATGACGTCTCCTTCGGCCACAACGGGGACTGGCTCTACGATAACGATCCCGCTTTCTCACAAAAGTCGGATGGTAAACACAGCATGCAGCGGTCTCTCTCATGCCATCTTCAGTTGATACCGACCGCCAGACACTGCCCAACTGAGAGAGACGGAATCTTCAAGATCCCGGTCTGTGTTTCCATTCTCTCTGTGTCCACTTGGATTGTTCCTCGGCCTACCTAGCCTTGCATGGTCAAAAGTCTTCTCTAACGAACGGAAGTTATAAGATAGTCCTGGGCTCCACTCACCGTCAGGGATACGTCTTCTCATATTTCTTTCTCCTCAATAATAATCCGACTTTCGAGAAGGACCATCATATTTTCAGCTCACTTCCTATTACCCAATTCACAATATAATTGCTTGCTCTCACGCCCGCCCGCCCGTCAACCACCATACCAACCAGCCGCTGACAAGATGACGGCCGACAAGCGAGGCCCCCGCATTCACCGGATGACCCTTTTCAAGATCCCGGATGAGATGAACCAGAAGAGGTTGTTGGATGCGTATCATGTTGTTGCGGAGGAGCAGAAGAAGGTTTGTTTATTTGTTGTTGCTCTCGTCACCGTCATACATCATACTATTCCAGTGGTCATCCATCCGTCGTCATTACCCATCCATCTTGGTTCAAAGATCTTCATCACTCGTCTCACGTCAAGGGGCAGTTTTGGCCCGCTCCTTCCCTCCTTCTTCTCTCTCCCTTTCCCATTCTTTTATCCCCTTAATGTCTCCATATCACAACTTTACCCTACTTAACCTCAAAGCACCTTTGCAAACACAAAACACAAAACACAAAACGTTCAAACCCCCTCTAACAGACCAGCACGCCTCGGAACAGGACGGCAAGCCGTACATCCTGCAACTGACGGCCGGCAAGACCATAGACGACCAGATGGCCCGCGGCTACACCGTCGCCTCGTACATCGAGTTCGCCTCCATGGACGACATGCGCTACTACGACAACGAGTGTCTCGCCCACGCCATGCTCAAGGAGATCGGCCCTTCCTTGAACATGAGGGAGCCGCCCACCATTTTGTGCTTTGAGAAGAGCAATTTGGCGGCTGCGCAGGATAGTATTTGAAGCGTTTTTTCCTTGGGAAAAGGGAGGATGGAGGGATTATTGTGGGAGTGAGGGAGGAAGGGGGGAGGAAGAGGGTACTTAGGGTGGGCTGCTGATGTGTGACACTGGAGAGTGGACGGCGGGCGGGATTGTAAGTTATGGTTTTTGAAATTTCAGTTGGATGTAGAAGACGGTCGCTTATTTGTTGGAGTAGGTGCATGCTTTTCTGATGTGTTTGGCTGGTGGCTTTCGTGGACGGACAGAATTGGAAGTGTCGATGGAACGCTCTCATTTACGTTCGTTTGGAGTTTAGTTTTCAATCACGATCTTTCCCGTTTGTCTTGCTTTCAGCCTTACAGACAAATCACTTTATTTCCTGCCCCAGAGTTCCTGAGTATTTGGTCATTTTGATCCGGTTATTGTGTTCCGCTCTTTCGTCAAGTCTTCCGCGGGTCATTGAACGAGCATTACAGCATTACCTACCTCTACTTCTACATACCGTAGTAATTCGCGGAATAGGCAAACGTTCTATCCCCCTTTGAGCCGCCGGGCAGGGCAGAATCTGTATAGGTCAAGCCGGATCCTGTACATTGAAACGCACGCAAGTTAGAGTTGTGGGCGCTGTCCTCGAGCTTTTACTACCTGACAGATACATCCGCAGGTGTATGTTGGCTGACTAGGCTCCGCGTTATGTTTTCTGCAGGCGCTCATAGGGGGATGGAACGTTTGCCTATTTCGCGAATTACTACGGTACCTCTAGAGGTAGATGGGCTCTAAATCAATGTTTCGAAGGAGCGTGACGTGCAACATCCTCCTATCCTTGTGGAGCCTATCATGTTTGAGCATCCCAGTGCCACCTTCGAAGCCTGGCAAGAATTTCATCCATATTACAGTTCCGGCAAAGACATTGTCTTCCGGACCCACTGGTAACCCATCAGCCTATATGATCGATGGAGGACTTTGGACTGCTTGCAAGGAGTCGTGGGCAGTGATGGAACGCACATACAACCATCAGAAGTGGGATTCGATAAGGAAGGCGTACCCAGCATATCGCAAACTCTGGAAGGACACTCTATTAGATCGCATGAGCTTTGACACCCCTTCTCCTCCTCCACCACCTCGGCCCCGACGTTCGCCGCGCGAGAGGCCCCCCACTTCCGTTGACCCCTACGACGCAGTGCAGCATGACTATTCTTCAGTACCGGCAACGGCATTTTTCTGGCCATCCCGTTCATTGCCTTGTTCGGCTTCTAACGGAGTGGAAGAAGCGGATCATGCCAGAAGCCAGGCTGCGGCCTCCCCGTATTATTTCACTGTTCGTCCTATGCGGGATCTCATCATCATCCGGCCAACGGCCTGGGCGTCGTATCTAAGTGAGGGCTACTGGTACGCGTTTGAACATGGATTTTCATTTGGGGCATAAAAATACGGCTTTCCAGGATTCTGCAGATGGAACGGTTTTGCGATCGAGTATGACCCCAGCTGGGGCGAGAAGCCGGAACTCGGTGCCACTTGGCGTGATCGCTCTCTGTGGCGTCAAGATGGTTCCTCTAAGCTACCCGACGGTGCTATCGGTATCTTTGACATTATACCCAACGCCATTTCGAACTTTCCGAGCATGAGCAGATCCATACGATCTGGCTCATTGACTACCGACTCAAGCCCAAGCCCGGAACGTCTGAAGCCATCGGAACGCTGGATGACAGCCAGAGGGTGTTTCATGGAGGTAACAGATGTCGGGTTGCTTGCTTGCCTGCCTTGAGCTTGAATGGGGTTAGTCGACCCTTCGAGGCTCGTGATATACTCGGGAAATCACTGCATCTGACTTGGCTGGTCTTTTCCACTGTATGTTTTGTCGTTTTGGTGTATGTGGCTGTGGATGGTATTTGATGTTTTCCTTACGCGTTTCCTACTACTTGTGGGGTTTAATGTAATCAGGCGTTTGTCACTTCGATCCTTTCCTTTCAGGTTCTATCGTTGAAGTATCTCGCGGCTTTCGTATCATAGGTTTCGGCAAACATAACTTCCATTATAAGCGAAAGAGACAAGGTGATAGTGGCTTGGATGGAGAACAAGCACCCATCCCATTAGGCACTGGGCTGGGTACGATGTGAGCAGAATCACCAAGTCTACTTGGACAGACGGGACTTGATAGTTGGCCAAAAAAATTCATGTAGGCATTCAGGGCCAAGGAGGTGTCATTAGCTTGCCGGCTCTACAATCCAATACTCGTTTATTTATTAGCTCGAGACCTCCGGTCATTCTTCCTAGCCGTTAACATGCCTAATCGATCCGTTTCGTACTATATCAAAAGCGTAATTTCGTATTGCACATACCCTCTAGACTCTTTTCAATGCCTTTTTGAATTGTACTTAGCCATTCAATACTGTCCTGATAAGGTTTATGATAATTTAGGATAGGTCGTGTCCAATATAATAAGTATATGGAGCTAACAAACAAACCAGCATTGTGCTATAGGGCAGTTGCGTGTTTGATATGATGATGACCAGTTGAACTCATTGTTTCGCTGGTTTTGTAGATTTCGCATCCGCAATGGAATGAGACCATTTCAACACTCAAACGGAGAGTTGGTATTGGGTTATTGATCGTTGAGCCGGTTACGACGCAGTGGTCAAGAAAAAGCTCTAGCATATACTATGATCATTACCATATGTTACTTCCCACACTTCACACGGTCAAGAATCCTCTCTCATTGACATGACATCTGGGACTCGTATTTACCAGCGTTTTATAAATGAGCAGCAATATGTCAACAGTGAAGACCATCCTAGGGACATCTCCTGGGCCAGAAGCTGTAATGACGACAATTGCGGGACAAAGCCGTACGGAGATCGGTTGTGGATAGTGTTTCGATATAGTCTACTAGCGGACAATGAAATGGACTTCAATTTAGAATGAAGACAACAAGTAACCTCTCCAGCTGGAGTGCCTGCACTACGGACAGAACTAGCTGCGTCCTTCTCGTTTTGTTGCTTCTCTTCCCTCCTCTTTCCCACTCATCTGTAACTAAACTGTGCCTTCCGTTTCAAAGAAACACGGGCGAGATGGGCAGGTGGGAGTTAATATTTGGCGCACCTTCCATTTGCAAAGGGTGATTTTACCTATGAGGTGGCGGTCAAATTTTCCTCCTGGGTCCCACCGGTCTTTCGTTCTCATTTATCCATCCTCCATACCATCTTCCTCTCTTCTCTTCATCACCTCTCCCTCCGTCCACGCCTTCGACATTCTCATCATAACTAGCGTGTGAGGATTAAGGCCACAAGCGCTCGGCTTGGTTCCAGCCACTCTTACGTTTTCATTTCTCCATTGTCCACTACATCGTTTTCTCTACTTCTCATCACTTCTATCCGTCCTCGCCTTCGACACTCCTTTCAAAGCCGGCCTTCCGTGAAAATCACCACCACAAGCGCTTGGCTACCAATCCAACAATACTCCCTTCATACCTGGGCGCGGCGATCCAAACGGCCACGCTCACCTCAAGAGCACCTCGATCCACACCGCCGCTGGCTGTTAGTTTGGGATGTTAGATTACACTCAGCCCCCCAGCGGCACCATGGTGCCTCGAACCACATTCTATCCCTTTCCCAAGTTGCCCTGGGAGCTTCGACACGACATTTGGGACCTTGTTGTTCGTCCACTTGACCGCCCTGGAGTGCATATCTTTTGCGTGGAGGAACGTGAGCTGGACGACTCCGAAGCTACAGAATGCGACGTGGTCTGCCCGCCTATCCTTCTGAAATCCGGCGAGTCTAACCTTCACATCAGAGTTCCGGCTGCAACTATGTCGTCCGGACCCGCTGGTAACCCATCCACATACATGCTTGATGGTGGACTCTGGGCCGCTTGCAAGGAGTCGCGCGCAGTGATGGAGAAGGCTTTCAAGCACCAGATGTGGGACCCGAAGAGGAAGGCCTACCCGGAGTGGTATCAGTCTTCATTCAGACGGCGATGTTCATTCCTGCAGAACTTCGAGCACTACGGCCTCTTCTCCAGTCATCGAAAACCCTTATAAAGGGTTATGGCACCAAACCGATATGATACCGGCGACGGGATTCTTTCTATCGGCACCATCGTCTTCTTCCTCGTCGTCATCCACTCGAACGACCATAGCAGACCGACGCAAACACCATGTCACAACCTCCCGGCACCATTTTTAGTGTGTTTCCTCATCGAGATCTTTTCATAATTCGGTCTTCATCGTGGAAGATAGAGGATCTTTGGTCTCATCTCGCAGATGGCTTTCCCTTCGGTTCGAAGAACTGGGGATATTTCGGATTCGGTGGGAAACATGGACTGGCATTCGAATACGACCCGATCTGGGGGCAAGACTGTGAAGAAAACAATGAGTACTTTCGTGATGGCACAGGGAAGATTTTTGGTATCATCAATGTCTACGACAGAATGGTTTCGACCATTCAGCAACTCGAGGATACCAGAGTGGAGACTATCTGGTTCATCGATTATCGGCTCAAGCTCAAGCCGAATACACCAGCCGATCAGAGAGAACCTAGCGATAGCCAAAAGGTGTTCTCTGGGAACGATGGAAGTCGGTATGTTGAGGTGTATTCCAAGTATGTCGAGGGAGGTGGTGATCGTCTCCAATGGTTTGTCACCGAGGGTGTTGAGGGTGAGGACTCATCCATCGGCGAAGAGTCTTGCCATTATTTTATTGAAGACGTTGAAACTGCTTTCATGAACTTCCTGAACGAAAATTCAGAGGACGAATGGGATGATGAGGAAAGATGGAGTCCAAAGTTAGGACTTCTTGCTTGCTTTACTTAAGTTCGGCCAGATTATGATGACGGTGGATCGCCAGTCAAGGGGTATACAGTTATTCTAACCATAACACACTGGACCGGTGTCTGTAAATCGTATTATATAATGAAATCCATCTTTTGATTGGGCTTTCAAATATATACAGTTCGAAATTCTGTGTCTGAATGGTAAATCAAGAATATTAGCGCATATGATCAATTCAGTCAACCAAACCGTCGTTTTTTCTACCAGTTCAGACAAGGACAAATTACTTCTGTTGCATGACTGTTCCTTGGCTTATAGGGACTGGCGCAATGGACAAAGCTCATGGAAGAATTAGTGAGTTAGGGTTAGAGCTGATCCAGACAGTCAGGTGTGTTCGTCAGATTTCAACAGCGGTTGGAGCAATAAATGAGCACTCAGTGATGGCATTTCGGGCAATAGTCTGAGTGTCAAAATGTGCAAGCTACCTCTACAGTCAACTCACTAGTGAGCTTTGGGCAATAGCACCTTTCATCCCACCTGCCTCAGCAGTTGTTTGCTGTCCAGACCTGTCAAACCTCTCAGCAAAACATCAGCACCTCACCAGATTACAGAATCTTAAGCCCAAACTATTCGCAGTCACATGATGAACTTGGAAAGCCCCTCCTGTTAAAAACCTGACGCCGTTATGCTTCCTCGTAGACGACTTCCGTAGCCTTCCATCTTGTTGAAGTCACCAAACCACGACTGTTTGTCTGTTTGCCCATAACCCATAAAGACCTGATTACCAGCGCGCTGACTTCAAAGTTCCAACAGAGCCCTCACCATTGTCACCTTTGTCTCACGATCTCTAAGTCAGATACCCCCCAAAGACCCATACGACACTGATATCTCAAGATGTCGCAAGACGAACTTGAGAGGCCACAATCAAGGGCCACGACCCCCGCCAACGAATACCACTGGTACCTCCTCTACCAGCTCATCCGCGGCCTAGAGTGGCTCCGGCTACATGTCCAAAGCAATGATCCCGATGCGCCCGTACAGCAGCTTTCAGCCGAAACAAAAGAAACCTTTCGCGAAAGCTTGGACAGGGAGATCGAAGAGACCAACACGACCGACAACCTCCTCTACGCAGAAAGCATGAAGTACGAAGACCGCGTCAAGAGCTTCCCGCAGGAGTCCTGGTCGCACGACCTCCGCCTGGGCAAGTTTCGACAGCAGCAAGGCTACAACGAGCGGTTGGAGAGATTCCGGCGCGAGTGGACGGAGGAGGCGGCGCTGGAGAGGATTGCGGAGTTGTTTGCTGTGTGGACGAATGTCAGGAAGCGGCTGGGGTTGAATGAGGAGGCCAGGTATATGGTGGTTGTGAGAGAGCATATGCTGAAGACGGTGGCGGCGAGACAGGCGGCTAGGAAAAAGGCGACTTATTCGCTTTGGCCGAAGATGCCGGAGGCGAAGGTGATGGAGAAGAGGTCACCAAAGTGATCTCACCCCGAATGAGAGAAGGGGCGCGCCAATGCTGTAGCAGCGACATCAAGTGGTTTTAGAGAGTTGGAGATGGCATGGGAAAAGACACCTCAGCATGGGTTGAAGGAAGTTTGGGTAGTGCGCAGTGGCGCAGGACCTTGAAGGTTGGGAATCGGGAATAGGGCAAGACGATGGCAGGAACAAGTGTAACGCCAACAACTAAATCCTCTTTTTTTCAAACCCCAAAACCAAAAAGAAAAACCTCAAACCATCATACCCAGAATAATCGAGCCCCACTCGATCAAACCAAAAATGCGAAAAGCTAAGTCACCCATGTTCGCTTGTAGAACGAACGACAATCCGCCAGCTGCAACTATACGAAACCCTACCACGCAGGTTTTCATCAACGATAACCACTACGCCACACCCGCAAGGGCATTGGTGACTGCAGGGCTTCCCGTTGTGGTAGAAGGGCTAGCTAACGGCCCTTATATTGTGCCTGCCACTCGCGGGTGGTGCCTGGGCCAGGTCCAGTTCCCGTCTGGGAAAGTGCGCGGGAGGCGGGTGTCCTGTCATCCGATGTCTGGGGAAGGAGTGCGCCTGCCGGTTGGGCAACGGCAGTACAAATGACGGCAGGAACGGTGCCTGGTAGGTAGAGGTACCTGTCCGGATCGATCGCCCACGAAATTGCATCGGATGATGAGGGATCAGTACTTCTAGGGAAGAGGCGAGGGTTCAGGGAAAGGGCAAATGTCCTTTGTTAATGAGGCACAGGCTGAAGTAGGGAGGTAGAAATTCAACGATCTACTACCTCTTCTAATTAGATATTTCCCCCAGTGTACTTGTCACAGAAAGGGTTCCTGCCGAATGTGTGTTCTTGTTGACCCGCCGGATATTTATGATACCTCATGGCTTTTCTCTCAGAGAACCTTCGTGTGCTATTAACAGTTGAGCAACCGTTGTTACCTGTCTGAACCTCCCGAAAACCGCCCAGCAACCGTTCAGTCCAATACTCGTTTATTTGTTAGCTCGAGACCTCCGGTCATTCTTCCTAAGCGTTAACATACTTAATCGATCCGTTTCGTACCATATCAAAAGCGTAATTTCATATTGCATATATGCTCTAGACTCTTCGCAATACCTTTTCAAATTGCACTTAGCCATTCAATGCTGTCCTTATAAGGTTTAGGACAGTTTGGGATAGATCGTGTCCAGTGTGATAAGTGTGCCGAGCTAACAAACAAACCAGCATTGTATTGTATAACAAAGGTGTACCTAAGGTACCTAGGTACCTGATGAAAAGGAAAATCGGACCCCAAACCCCCAAACCGTACGAGCTGTAACATCTTCCGACTCCCGCAGGTCCAAGCAAAAGATGTGGGCTCCACGGCGGTCGAGCGGTCGGAGAGAGAGCTTCCAAATCTCATCGCGCAGTTCCCAGGGTAGTCTCGGGAAGAGGTGGAAGGTGGTGAGAGATGTCATGGTCGGCTGAGGGGGATCTGACATCGTCTTCCCCAATAAACGACGATGGCGTGGGTCGACGTTGATTTCAAGGTGAAGGAGTGCTGATTCCACACGCGCAGGTGCGAACGAGAGGATGCCGAGATGGTTGACTTCTTGGACGTTGTTCTGTCTAACCGCTGACTCAAGAGGAGTGACTGGAAGGTGTGTACGGGGAGGAATGATGGGAGAGCCCAGGTGATGGGAATGAGAGTGGGCGAGGACTGCGAAGAAAGAGGGAAGGAAAAGGACGATGGAAAAGCCGACGGAAATGCCCAGTTGTGGGAAGAGAAAAACTTTTCACCACTGACTGCATCGTCGTTTGTAAAATGGAAGGTGCGCTCGTCAACCCTCACCTGGCACCCGCTGCAATCGCGTAATACGTCATGGGATGGCCGTTGAGGTACTCACCTTATTAGAGGGGGTGTCGTTCCTTCCTCAAATTTGGTACCTCCAGGAAGTAACAGCCATGGCCCTTCCCAATCCGCCAGATCAAAAAGTCGGTCTATCCCTCGGTCCTGTCTCCGAACGCACCGTCCGATAGGTTCCTTGCTCTGGATATGTCCTCGTGTTTTTGTCGTTCTCGTCGGCCTCTGCATTGTCTCTTGGAAACTTCGCGCATTCCAAACTTTTCATGGTGGTGGAACATCGTGTTGGTTGTATAACTTGCTATCGAAGTCCTGTAAGTTGGATCATGATCGATGGTGATGATGGGGACCACTCCGACCGTGCAGTTTTTTCAATCGTACATCCTAGGGTATCAAATCCGTTACATTGCTTTTCTCGTTGCGAGGTTCGTCCATATGAGAAGCCGTGAGAAGGACAAGCCCGAGATATCTGGTTGTGCCAGACACTCTACTTCGACGCATCCTTAACCTCCCTCCACCTCCCCTCAGCAACACCAACGAAGCCCCTCATCAACTCTCTTCCAATCACCGTACCACCGTGCTTCTCAATGCTCTTGACCTTGGTCTCTTCCCCGCTGCAGTCCACCACCACCGTGACGGTCTCCTTGCACAGGCTCTCCTCCAACCTATCCGGATCCAGCAGAATCCAGTGCCTGCTTTTCCTCTCTGCCGAGGCACCCGAATCCTCTCCATGCTCCTTCTCCAAGAACACCGTCGCCGTGCAGGCAACAGGCAGTCCAGGCACACCCAGCGCCGTCTTCGCCTCTTCGCTCCGCGAGCACACCACCGCCTCACGATCCGGATCCCACCTTGCCGCAGGCAGCTTCGTGTCGCGCAGCGCCGCCATGACGGCCGCCCAGGCTGCATCAAAGGGGTTTCCGTCAAACGAGACGAACAGTAGATCGATGTAGAGGACCCAGTAGGCCTTGAGCTCCGGTTTCCTTTCCTCCTCTTCTTCGTCGTCTTGTGCCTCATCCACCTCCATCGCGCCTTCTTCCTTGGGTTCCTTAGGCGGAGTGTACCACACCCTCAAGCCCTTAGGATCTACCACCTTGCAGCTGTGCATGAGCGAGTAGATGCGCGTGCTGAGGGTCTGCGCCAGCGTCGTGGGTGGCACGCCAGGCAGGAACTGCGGCGCGCAGCCGGTGGCTAGCTCGATGTTGGGGACCAGGAGGTCGTAGTCCTTTAGTTCGTCGAGATCGCTACCCTCATATTCGGCATTGTCTTCGCTGTAAGTGGGTTCCCGGGGCCTGTATTGGGGGATGCTGGTAACGGGGAGGATCTCGGCGCGGACGCCGCAAACGACCGTGGTGTCGCCGGTACGGACGAGCGCGCTGCCGTTGGCGTGGGCGAGCGAGGAGGTGTGGATGTGAATGGGACGGGCCTCGTGCGGTGCGCGACCGTTGGTACGGCAAGGGTTCTCGGGGTCGGTGAGGTTCGTGAGGAGGTAAGGGTGAGGCGAGAGCTTTGCGAAGGTTGGTCGCGAGAAGCTCAGCGAGGGAACTGGAGCTGTGGCGGCCATCGTGACGGCGTTGGTTTATGATGTTACTGATTAGAAGTTGATATGCTTGGTGTGGTTCTGATCTTCGTATGTCAAGTTTACACCGCGTTTAACTCGCAAATTGGCTGCGCTAATATGATATGGAAGTGGTGATGTTTGGTCGAGGCTGCGATTTGTTTTGGAGGTTGTTTAGGAAATTTCCTTCAACCTGAAAGGTTATCAGCCTTGGTGGGGTTTGTGGTTGCACAGCAGCTTGCAGATCGACCAATGCGGCCCCTTGTATCAGGCTGCTTTGGGCAGCTGGATGTAAGGCAAGTGCGTGCTGAGGAACCGCCTGACACCCGCTAAATTAGCACCTAACATGACGTTTCAGGGCACTTTCACTTCTGTGTCCCTGGATTCCAACTTCCCGTCAACTTCATGGATTCCACTTCATCACCTCAAGACCCGATGATCACTCGAAAAATGAACCACGACAAGATATGTTATCCAAGTCTTATATTCATATTCATTTCCTTTATATATCTAACTTATCGCATCATCATATACAATCGTTTATTTCTTCAAATCCGTGACCAGAAACCTGCCGCCAAGCCAGCCACCTCCTTCCCTTTCGTCATGACGATCTCATGTCCACAATCCAGCAAAACAGCCTCAAACCCATCCTCTCCCAAGACCGACGTGGCATCGTGAATCAATTCCTCCTTAACAATGACTGGATCTGTTGAGCCAAGTACCAGCAAGACCTTTCCACCAAGGAGTCCCGGCAACTGTTGTGCTGCGGCACCCTCATCGGCATCAGAAGCAGACGCCTTTCGCCTAGCAGCCAAAAGCTGACCGAGCTTTATCCAATCCTCTCGTTGTTCGTAAATGGGCGCGTGCCGGATGCTGCCCATAAAAGCCGTGAGGAACCCTTGCTGATGCTGGACCTGCCAGGCCATCACCGAGGAAACCGTGCTGTTAGGCCGATGCGGCGAGAGAACCGCATTGTCAAAGGAGTCGCCGCCACTGGCGTCGCTGTTCTTGTGATGCTTCTTGCTCGACGGTTCTGGCGTGTTAGAGGTGGTAGCCACGACCTCGCTGGCCATCTTGGCCTCGGACGTCGTTGTCGCTGGCTGGGGGGTGATCCGTCGACGTACGAGCCACCGGAGCAGATGCTCGGGAAGCACGCCCTCTGAGTAGAGGATCCTGCTCCTTCGGCTTACGTGTTCGGACCTGATCAGTCCTCCGCTTGCCACAAGCACCAGGGAGCGAATCATGTGAGAGTAGTACTTGGCGAACGAGACGGCGAGGCCTCCGCCTAGCGAATAACCGATGATATGGAATCCGTTGTCACCGGTCCAGGGAAGTCTGGAAGATACCAGAGCCAGGAGGATTTGCGTCGAGTAAAGCCGGATGTCAAAGGGGATGTCTGTCGGGGTATCGGAGTAGCCGCGTCCGAAGAAGTCAAAGAGCATGACTCTGTAACCCTTTTCCACTAGCGCCTCTCCCAGAATCCCCAAACTTAGACATGGTGTGCTGATACCGTGTAAGAGAAGCACCTTTTCGCCGTCCTCAGGCCCCCATTCGAACACTTTGATGATTCCATATGGGGTCTCAACGTCCCTTGCGCCTGGTAGAGCATCTGGCGGGTATGGAAGTGAGGATGTCTCTTCTTTCGATAACTGGGGAATTTGGGTAGCTCTTGGCGACGGTATTATTATTGGCTTCTTGGTCGAGTTCTGGTTCAACAACACGCGGACACTCAACCCCAAGGATACACCCACAGCCCCAAGGATGAGACAGGATGTTGTCACCTGGGTAGGGCGGAGGCCAGAAGCCCAGGCCGCCATAATTCAGTTGCAAGAGTGTGTGGTTGAGACCTGACTCCGCTGAAGCTTGACCCGGAAGGACTCGTCGTTTTGCCCCGGATATAGAAGCTTTTCAAAAATGCAATGAGGCCCACGGTATGTGACCTGCAGTGACGGTCAACGGGATGGTATCAGAGATCAAGACCTAACAGTCTATTGTTCGTGTGCGGTGAGTGATATGGAGGAGTTTCCGGTGTCGATACATATCTGTCCGGAGAGCTTTTATAGTAGTCGCATAAAAAATCTTCTATGACCCGATAACCGATGAAAGTGGTGATCGTAGGAATGCTAGCGGCTGCCAAGGAAAAAGCGGGGCGGTTTCGATGTCGGCGGAGCGGCCGGGCTCGTCCAGGACGAATTAACGCGTACTCCAGAGCCCGACATAAGGACAAATCGACAGTACACCGAAGAGTCTGTCAAGCTGTAAACGGCTTTTGGGACCTAGGAATGGCCTTGAGGAAGAATGAGAAGAAAATTAATGAGACGAATGGAAACCGTCTTGGTGCTTTTCAGACGATGTCGTGGTCTTGGTGATCAGGCCGGGCTGCAGTCTACGTTAATTTGTCCTGGACGAGCCGGGGTCTTCGAGCAAATACGCCCAAATCTCATCCCAGAAACGGAAATCCTCTGAACATCAAAGTTCACGATGCCGGACCAGCCGTAATTTTGAGATATCGTGATCCGGTCTCCCGGGCGCCGGAACCATCCGATACGAACCATAAGACAAGAAGCAAAATAAGACCAGTGGTGTCCTCAAGGTCCCGGCTTCTCTCGGCGGTAAAAACTCCTCAGCCGGGTTAGTTGTCGTCGGAGGACACCCTTCTCCTTCTCCCCGTTACTATCCGAAAGCTCGACGGAAAACGACGGCCGGCCGGAGCCGTTGGGGTCTTTGACCAGCTTCCGCGGAGGCGGACGCTCACCGGTCCATGAAGGGCGTCTTTCGGCGGTACTCAACCACGTCCGGTGTGAGATATCTTGTTGTCCAGAGGTTGCGAAACCTTGTATCCATGCTCCTGGGGTAGATTTGGTTCGGCGGTGTTCTGGCGGCTCCATTGCGCGCACCATGGGGTCCAAGAGCGAGGAATAAGCCGAGTCATGGTGGTTGTCTGAGGAATCGCGATTCTCTTGTTCTGAGAGGGGCATGGAGTTTGGAGGGCTCATGAGCTTCAGAGAGGTTGACCTGCGCCCAAATATCCTGGACATCTTTGCGCTCCTTTATTTGACGTTGATGAACACAGTTGGTAAAGCTGGTCGAATAATGTTGTCGACGAACAAGTTGTTTCCGTAATCTCTGGGTTGGATCAGTATGTCTTATAAGACAAGGCGGGGGGCGGCGGGATAAAAAAGGGGGGTGATGATCTTTTATCTTTTTTCCTTGTGAGGCGAAACGAAAGGGTTTGTGGGGAACTTTTGTGGTCGTCTTTTCCGATTCTTCGCTCCGCACAACCGGAATCCTTTGCACACTCTTGAGGTAATCCAGCTCGATTACGGTTGCTCTTGTGACGAATTCGAGGAGATGTAGTCTCAGCATATGTTGGAAAATGCGACGACGTACTTATATCATGGGGTACTTTTGAGTGCCACCCCCAAAACTCTCGCTCCTTTAACGCGGGGCAACATCACGGGCCAAGGGGGTCTGGAGGTTGCCCAAAAACGATCTGCTCATTCCCTGACTTGCCTCTTCCGGGGGTGTAAAGCCTGTCGAATGGAAAGCCGTGTTTCTGTCGTCGGCTTCTGATTCGATCACGGCTGGGTAGGTGCAATTATACCTTTGCGTGCCAACGATCCCGTCTCTACGGCACCCTCTCACAGCCTGCGGAGGCTGTTCAGGAACAAAAGCGGTGCTACCGCCCTGCTTCAGCGGTTCTAACTGGCTAGGTGTGGAATTGGATATCCGTTGGATAGCGGCTGAAAACAAACAAGACAGTCTGGAGATACGAGAGGAAAATATTGCTGGGCCATATGACGTGTCCTTCCGATAGCGGGCACATTTAGGATGTCTCTTTGAGGGGCAGGTCTTTTCTGCTTCCCTTTCCTAAGTATCTCAGTTTCCATGGTTGGAAGGTTGCAGCCTCTTTCGCGGACGAGTGCTGATGTTGTTTGCATCAGTTATTCTCGCACTTACCCTGATGCATATCGTTTTTCAAGCATCCAAACGCAGATGCAGTTTTCAACTTGTGCTCTGGTTCAACCTCCAAGTTTCGTGGCCAATTCTCTTAAGAAGTAACATGGACTGTAACCAGCAAGACGGATGGCCAATTCAGTTGCCAGGTTGTAAAGTCGTCATACCTTCGAACAGTTCACGAAGCTTGTGGTGGCATCCACGAGGTATCAACACAGCGAAAGTCCCGCGCAACACCGAAGTGCTACTCGACATATGATAGTGTACTTCGAGCCTCGAAGGGCAGCCCAGATTCGCCAAACTATCTTGGTCGCCTATCGGCTCGCGCTGAGATAGGATTGAAGGTTGGTGAAGCTGTGAAGCTGGAATATCGTTCTCTGGCCCGCTTCTCCAAGAGGGTGTTGCCGTGGGTGATAACTGTGATTCCCCATCTCGGGGCACCCTATGACCAAAGCCAGTGGACCTAGAATTTGGTGACTGAAGTAGGATACTTTCTCGACAAATTCAAAAAACAGTGACAAAGTATCGATTGCGTCGACGGGTTTGCGGGTCTCATTATGCCATCAGAGCGGGTTATGTATGGCTTCCAGGATATCGGTGTTACAGACATGCTTCACGGTTCCTCTCCCTTTTCAGCTCAAGTGCTGTTCTTGACGAGGGATGATACTGTCTCCTCGATTTGCTGGTCGGACAGACCTAGAATCATCGGTGTTAGTTTACTTGTCCACAAGAGTTATAGGGGAATGCCACGACCTACCCTCCAACGACTGACTCTTCTCCTTACCGAACTCTGCAAAGGACGAGCATTAGAACCAACCCAAACAACAGAGTATAGATGTCATGTAGACAGGATCCACCAACCGAATCTCGCATAGATCTTGGGCGGCGTGCCAGACGCATCTCGGATCAGAATCGGCGTCGCAGGGTTGTCCTTCTTCATGGCAGGGTAGTTTCGGAGGAGGAACGATCTGGATTCCCAAGAGTTAAAAGTTAGTCTGGGGTTCAGTTCTCGAAATCAGGGGAAGCGGGTATGGCTCGAGTCATTCACGCTCGGTGTTGACGGGAGACTCCATCGGTAGGGCTGGGATCATTCACCTTGTGGCAGCGCTGTGTTCGCCCGTCTGGCAGAACAGAAAGCGGACCTCCTTCAAGCCCTTGCTGAAAGCGAATCTGCCCGACATGTTCGCGATAACGACAATGCTAAATTGAAAAGGCGCAAGAATTGGCAGATGGGGATACCGAGTGGTCGTCGTTGTCCTACAGGCACCTTTGCGAGAAGCAGGTAAAGCGGGCGAGGTTGACCACAGAGAGCTCCACCTAGGATTCGAGATGCACAATTACCCCAGCTGATTGCATAAGGGAGCTCTTTGTGCAAATGTTTGAAGAGGTTGCACAAAGTCGGGCTTCCCCAACGGTGCACGAGCCACACAATACCTACAACTCAAAGACAAGACAAAATCCTGGTTATCTCCGCAATCCTTAACAAGGGCCAGCGGTTTGTTTGTTCTGGGCGCAAAAAGTGATGACTTGTCGAAAGCCTGCTGTGCCTTTGGTATAAAACGTTAGTCAAAGAAGCACTCGAAGTGATTTCGAGGCTATCGCGCTCGTTAAATTCGTATTAAATCAAGGTCAGTTTACGAGATTCTGGATCTGATAAGGTGGTCTGAGGCTGTTAACGAGGAGCATTGGACACGCCGCTTGCTCCGCGCTGATACCAAGTCACAGACTAACAAAACCACCGACTCCGAAGTTTAGACCGGACCTTGAGAGCCTCCACTTTCAGCTCCATCCAATTCCACTTTCGCCCCGGCGTCGTGCCCCCAAGAAGTCCAAACCTCCAACTCGAGATTCAACTCGGACATCCCACCACGAACCGCATCCCACTTCGAGTCGAGTCGCAAGCCCCCGTCCGACACAATGGCCCCAATGAACAACTTCTTCCGCGCTGCGCGCCCCGTCTTCCGCAACACCTTCTTCACCTCCAACGCCGCCCGCAATGGCGGCAAGCGTTTCCAGAGCACAGCGAGTTCGGAGCAGGCGCAAGAGTCCTTCTTCAAGCGCATGTGGAACAGCCCCGTTGGCTTCAAGACGGTGCACTTCTGGTATGTTTTTTGTACCATTTACCGGGAGAAGTTTTCAGTCGGCGTAAAATCAAGCATCACGGAAACACGATAAATAAACAAATATATTGAACCAAAAACGACACGATAGATACTTGCAAACGAACAATGAGCAAAAGCTAATCCATGTCCATTTCAAAAAACAACAGGGCCCCTGTCATGAAATGGGGTCTCGTCCTCGCAGGTATCTCCGACTTTGCGCGCCCGGCCGAGAAGCTCTCCCTCACCCAGAACGGCGCCCTGACTGCCACCGGTCTCATCTGGACCCGCTGGTGCTTGATCATCAAGCCTAAGAACTACCTGTGCGTTTTCCCTTCTTCCTTCCATCTTGTTGTCGCCCTTCCCGTCATCTTCGACCTCATCTAGAAAAACCTACGTCATCCCATCTCCAACAACAGCCACCATCAGCACTCTCCTCTTCCATGTCTACCCTCCATACCCGTATTCCTCATCGTCAACTACCATTAACATACCTTGACCCGAGTCTAACCATCCTCGTTTTCTCACAGCCTCGCCGCCGTCAACTTCTTCCTCGGCATGGTCGGTATCGTCCAAGTCTCCCGCATCCTTCTCTGGCAACAATCCCAAAAGAACAAGACCCTCCCTGCGGCCGCTGAGGAGGTCAAGGAGACCCTGAAGGAGGGAGTTGAGAAGGTCGAGAAGGCTGTCAAGGCTTAAACACGTTTTGCTCCAACGAAACGAAACGATCCACCGATAAACGACGGCGCCATCGAGAACCGAGTTTTCGGCATAGTGGGGAGTCGGAAGTCAGTGTCGAAGGTCGAAAAAAGTGCAGAGGGGGGATGTTGCCAGTATCAGGATCAGTGTTGGAGGGTATATACCACGGACTAGATTGTCGCGACGATGGCGGCTATGACTATGGCAACGCATATGGCCGTAAAGACGATTCCGGCGCAACGGCAGCACGATGAATTTGAAGTGTGAACATTGGACAGATGGCTGGGTCGACTTGGGTCGGAAACACCCAGAGTGGTTCTCATGTTGGTTGGTGACATGCTTGAATCTGGATCTGATCAGATACAAGATGTGGCGGGTGGTGGAAGTGGAGAGATTGCAGTTCCGGAGGCGGCAAGGCAAGCGGCTTATAACTATCCAAGGCGAAGGTAACTTGCTTCACCTAAGGATTGATCTCGAATGCTGATTTCAGCACTAGATACTACAAGGGTTTCTTTTTTCTTTTCCTATGGGTTCCAATATATGCGGTGCGGTTCTATTCCATCTGTGGTCGTTGGCGGAATCATCAGTTCAGTTCACGAGATTTCCATGTAGAACGCGAACTGACGGACGGATAGAGTGACTGTTCCTTTCTTCAGATTGTGCTGCTTCCAAAGTTTATCCAGGTAGGTATCTCGTAATAAAAACGGGTCGCCCCAAAGTCGAGCGCTAACGATACAGTACTAAAAAGGATATAATAACAAAAGATCGCCCCCAAGAAATCAAAAGCTTGCGCTGATCGTGTACCATCTGCATGAGAAGATGGACAGTGTCCGTCCGCCCATTGAAAAATGAAGAAAGAAAAAGAGCAAGGAAACCAAAACGGAAATCCAACGCCAGCAATGAAGCTATTAAAAACATGTAAACCTCGAAGAAGCAGAGTCCTTCTCCCTTCCTTCTCTTCATGACGGGGTATCCGCTCTCTCTTCCTCCTTTTACTTCGGTGCTCATTCAAAAATCCAGACAAGAGCATCATCGTTCGTCGCCAGCATCCCTAGTCCTCGTGCGAGCGTTCATCCGCGCTTCCATGGCGGCAGCCTGATCGAAGCTCCCCCTACGGCCCCAGTTCTGAGGCTGCCGCTTCAGGAACGCGCCAACGGCTCCCAGGTAGCCTTCGTGTCTGAGGAAGTACGCCTGCTTGGCACCCTTACTCCAAAACTTGATGGCGTAGCTGAGCGTGTTCATGGTCTGCGGGTGTCCCCTGATGAAGGACCCGCCAAAGTAAATGTGGCTGAGTTCGTGTATCTGACTTTGCAGATAGGCGAGCTGTCCGATGTTGTTACTGATCGCGTACAGCAAGGAGACCGAGACGTCGGCGCTCGAAAAGTGCTTGCTGCCAGGCGATTTTGTTGATGATGTAGAGGGCTCGCCGGCCTCGCCGGCGCTCGAGAGTTCCTCGTCAACGTCGACGGGGCTAAGGCCACCGCTGTCCTCGGCTTCATTCTCGGCTTGTCGCTTCATGCGGAAAACTTTCCCGAAAGAGCTGGCAATGGTGGTACTCTTGAGACCGATCTTGCCGTAGTCGGTGCCGTAGATGTCGCCGACTAGCATGTCAACTCTGCTGTTGTCACCCTTGGAGGCCATGTCTAGCATCTCATCAAAGCTACGAGCCCCGGTGAGGAGACTTAGCAGACCCCAAAGTGTGCCGCCGCCGAGTGACGTTCCGCCCACACGCTGATAGTCCCGAGGCCCTGTTACTTTGAGAAATGACACTCCAGAGCCGATATTTACCAGGAGGTATGGGTATACGTGGGTAGATGGATCAACGAAGTTCATTGGGTCTTGTTCTGAGTAGGTGAAGACTTCGCGAGGGATCTCGGTGATGAAGAAGTCAAGTCCTGGAGTTATGCATGTTAGCGAAGATTCTAGCCAGCGCAAAGTCGGGTACGAAGGAACGCCATACCTATTATTAGACACTCCATCTCATCTTCACGAATGACATCGACTCCCAAAACATCGCGAATCATGTCGTAAAACTTGTATGCGCCGCCGCCCGTGGCCATGACGCACAGCTCGGGGACAATGTTGGATCCATTGAGCGTTTCGTGTTTCCGCTTGAGGGCGCTCATGAACTCAAGGCAATCATCGATGTGGTCGGTTTCGAAGCTGACGAAGTTGAGGCGTCCACCTGGTTCCGAGGAGTGAGGCTCGCGGGAGAAGTATACAAGCTTGGCCAAAGAACCGCCAATCTGTCCGAGGTATCATTTATTAGCAAGGCGCCCAATTGGAAATACCAGGAAAGAATTGTGAAAAGTGTATACGTACATCAACAGCAATATGGCTTACTACCGAAGTGTGGTTCGGTAATCTGATGTCCTTTGACTCTTGACGACTTGGTGAACCACCGCGGCTGCTGCTTCCACTTGGTGTCTGTGGCGGCGAAGCGCTGCCGTGCTCGACAATGAATGCGCCCTTGACATTGATGCGAACAGAGCCCGGGTGGCTCAAGGCAGTGTCGAGCTCGATCGGGCCGGATGTGGGTGCGCGCTGGCGGCTGGCTGACGGGGGTGACGTTGTCGCAGAGGTTAGGGTTGTGAGAGGAGTTGACGCAGTCGCAATCTCGGGACTGGTGATCGTGGGCGATGTTGGAGTGGTCAGGGCAGCGGTCAGAGAGAGAGGAGTGGTCAATTGATCGGCCTGCGGTGGTATGCCGTCATTCTTCAGCTCTCGGTCGCGGGATTCGGGTTGTGGGTGGTCGGATTGAGGTCGCGACGATGGGTGTTGCGGGTGGGGAGCAACAGCCTCGGCTTCGGCTTGGTAGGTTTCTGACGACATGTTGGATCTCTTGTTGTTCATAACACGGAGAAAAAGAGTAGGTGGAGGTTAGAACAACAAAAACGGATCAGGGAGGCATGAGGGTGTCTTTGAGGGCTGCCATTCGGAGAGCGCTTTTGGGCCAGACAGACTTGTCAGAGACCTTTTAAAGGAGGAGGGATACTGAAAACTACATTGTAGATCATATCCCGGGTGCCTTTGGTGGTGATCTAGTCAGAGGTGGGCCCCGAAAACATCCCGCACGGGTTATCGATAAGGTGCTACAAGAAAAAGATGGCCTGCAGGCCTGGTCTTTACCCCTGTTGCAGGAAAGAAACCCCAACAAATACCGTGACGAGTGTGACCCCTTTCGCCCGAGGCACGGCACATCATGATCCTTCCGTCTTGTCTGGTGTAGGACGTCACGTTGTCATCCAATGTTAACATGGGACTTAGTTTCCAAAATTGAAACATTTACCAGCGATTGAGTCCATCTTGTCCGAGCTTTCCCAAAACACCGAATCCTTTTACTCAGGTCTTGTCTGCGCCGTGTTCCGTGCCATCTCTCGTCAGCCTGAGCGTCGCAATAACGGTTCCGTATCTGGTATTGTAGATCCACATCCGAACAGCTGGGAATCCATAGGTATGTAACACCACTTTGGCGCAACAGTAGGTATAAGTAGCCGCTCCGCTTGTCTATCAACGCATTGAAAGACATAAAGTCTGTGAAACCACACTTTGAAGGAATCAGGAATAGTATTGCCCATCACTCTAGCCCTACTACCTATGCTGCCTGTTGTCCATGCCTCCTCCTCCTGCTGCCCCTCCACGGCTTTCAGTAATCATCAATTCCATCCCGGTCATCTACCTAAGCAGAAGCTACTCCGACTCCGACACAAACCAGACCAAGACCAACAGAAACAAGAATTCCGAATCGCCTTTCCACTCCATTTTTTTGTACACGAAACCCCAAGAGGAACATACCCCGCCGGTCCCATCGACCAGACCATTGACCCAAAAAGATTGCGACGTAAGCCAAAGAAAACCGCCGATATAAAAAGAACGCAATGATACATAAGCCTTGCATTGGGGGGACATGCCTCCAACACGCGGTTCTGGGGAAATGGTTCGGCTCGGCGCAGGTACGACGACTCCACAACGCCAAAAGTTACCGAAACCGGCTTACGTTTTCCCCAGAGCGGGGAGAAGATTGAAGGGAGGAACAAAAGATGATTCGGTGGCAGGAGGCATGGAATAGCGGGGATTCCCGCACGTCCGAACCCCGAACGGAGATTGGAAGGAAGAGTGGAAAAGAGAATGTCATCCGTCTCCATCATCTCCAAATTTTTTTGATGGGCCACCCCGCATTTCTACACATTAAGCTTCATCCACTGATGCAAGCAGTCTTGTTGTTCTCCTCAATTCGGGTTATCAGATCGATCAGATAAACCAAGACATTCGAGTTTAAATCTGAAAGACAGACACTCCAAAAATCTTGATAAAATCAAAACAAGTCCCCTCCAGGCACGGCCACAAAGATGGCCGTCAGGATGGCCGACATCACCAGCGCGCACAACATGCTCTGCACCGCAATCGTGTCCTGAATCTGGCGCAACATCGGTTCCTGGATCCACACCTCGCGATCAAAGATCTTGCGGATCACGTTGCGCTTCTGGTACCGGACCACCCACGGCTCATCTTCATAGCTGTTGCCGGACCCGAAGCTATCAAACGACCGCTTCGCCTGCGTGCCCTCTTCCCCGTCCTCCTCCTCCGTCATGAACAGCTCCCACGGGCGAATATGCCGGTGATGCAAGCCGTGCAGGACCACGCACATGCCCTTGTACGCCGCGATCAACGTCGAGATGCCCAGCACCCAGCCAATGGCCGCCAGCGCGCGATAGCCGCGGCCCGCCTTTGACAGAGTCAGCACGATGGCGACCGCGGTGCTGAGCAGGATGAGCGCTACGCCGAGGCCCCGCGCGAAGAAGACGCGCGCTGGATTGCCGTTGCAGATGGACCAGCGGATGAAGTTGGGGTGCGCCTGCCGACGCAGCGCAGACTCAATGGGCGCGATGATGATGCGGAACGCGGACGGGTGTGTCGTGTGCGCAAGCGCTTGCAGGACGGCTTTTTGCTCCTTGTCGGAGAGGTTCAGCTGTCGGGGCGCGTCATCCATGATATAAGTGGCTATCACACGGTCGATTTCTTTTCGGAATGGCTGGATGGTGACTGTTCCGGTTGATTTTTTTTGTCAGTCAACATTCCTCACTTCAAGTCGGTACTTCACAGTAGCTGTCACATGCATGCCATCCCTCCCCGGGGTTGTTGCATATGAAGCCGAAGGGACAAAGAGACGCAAAGCTTACATGGTGGCTTGATGCCTGCTGTGGTGAAGGCATCGGTCGCCTGCGTGCGGTATGTCGTCGCCATACTTGAACCGACATACTCGGAGGAGAATGTATCATGGTGGTAACCACGCGGAGTATCCGGCGGCGGTCCGAACGGATTGTTGCTGCCCGTTCGGGCGCCCTCAGGCAAGTCTGATGTACTCCGGCCTCTCGGACTCGACAGCACCGGGGTCGATCCTTTTTCAAAATCGGTACCCTTGAATATCTCGACCGTCACGTCTCCTGTTTTACTGTTTGGCTTCTTGCGGGCCTTCTCAGCCTGGTCTCTCTGGATCTTCTGGATGGCTTCCTCCTCCATGGCTGATGTCCATTCTGGGGCGAGCGCAAGGTCCCATGTCTTGGCTTGTTCGAAACGCTTCACATAGTCGCGATACCACAGAAAGAATTGCAGGTTCTCGGCTGACCGCTCCACGTATATCAGGTAGTTCATAAAGTCTCGGACGGTGCATGGCTTTATGCGGCTAGTCAGTGACTGGTCTGTCTAAACGTGAGGCAGCATCAAGTACTGACTGGACATGTTCCACCCTCGATGATCTTATCAAAGCTCAACGCTGATGGGATTCCCGCGATGCTCCCCGAGTTGACCGGCTTCAGGCTTTGTTCCGTCTTCTCTAGTCCTGCTTCACTGTCATTGGTAGGGGCATTGCTAAGGGTGTTGTGGCCAGCATTGGACTCATCGCTGAGTGCGATGTTGTCCTTGTCGACGTAAACTGGACGTCGATATGTGAGAGGGAGGAGACCCATTGTGATGGGATAGTTGACTGAACGATTGGTTGGACTGCTGTCCGAAAGAGAGGCAGTCGACACTGGGCGAAATAAGGTTAAAAGGTGTCGGTATGATATGCCACGAAACTTCAAGCGCTAGCAGGACGGGGCAAGGAAAGATGTGAGAGAAGGAGAGGCCAGTCCATTCATATAGTGCCCTCTTATCCACGGAGCAAATCCCGACTAGAGATCACCTCTGTTAATCTCGATCTTGATCAGGTATCATCCATGGGTACCAGGCACGCCAGGGTGGGCGGAAGCGGGATGTCGAAAATGACAAACGGGTAACAGAAAAGCATGGCACAACACTATCGAAGTCGTCGGCCAGCAGTTGACCTGCCAGAACCGAGCCCTTTGCTTTTTAAGACCTGGACCCCTCTCGAAGGCAGGGAAAGAGGGCTTCCCAGCCTGTTGACACTGCACCACATGGCGATATCAGCATGTGTGGCGCATCCAACGAAGCAGGGTCATTTGGTATCAGTGTCTTTTCAACGCTCGAGCTGGCGAAAAAGGCGTTACGAATCAAGAACAAACGTGTTCAGGGCGTCAAGATTTTCCTCCAGAAACCTGCAATTGTTGCGGACCAGCCAAGGAATCGCTTTTACTGCTTGGACCCCTCCACGCCCTCCTCGATCAAAAGCAATAAACATCGAGAATATCGACACTGGGCTGCCAAGCTACATAGGGAAGGGATCGCCGTAATGAGGCTGCCTAGCGACTTTGTGATTGGCAGGACATCCGGCCGGCTTGGCTCTCGAGGTCCGCTCTCAATGAGTTTGTTTTTCTGAGACATGCATCTGTCTTGATTGCGCACATGAGAGCGGAGAAAAATCGAATTGTTGCCAGAGGAGTCGACAAGTCAGAAACGGGCATTCTACGCGAATTTTCCTTCCATCGTCGTTTGTTAAGCTGTCACGGCAGCGCTGCAGCGAAGTGGAAGTTTTTCGGTGATCACAACCACACCGTAGTAACGACCGACCCGATGATGCTTCCACGGCGGTGGAAGATCGGTGGAATGGCTTTGTGATCTTCGATGCAACTCTTCATCGGAAATCAGATCCCTCAAGAAGAAGGCCGGCGGAGCGGGGCCGGGCTCTTTCGATGGTGCCCTTTTGTCAGGATCAAAAATGCCCGTCGGTGCCGTGGAACTGGGTACTGGCAATTTCCCCCATTGCGCTGTGGACCAAACAACGGTTGCCAATCGCATCTGGTGAAAACGACCAAAAGGACAAGGCCCTCTTCGGGTTAGTCGCCGTGTTGTGCTCGGACACGAAACAGAATTCTGAAAGCTGAAAAAAAGGGTGCCAATGTCTCCCAAGAGATGGAAAGGAAATGCTTTTGGACACACGCCAAGGAGCCCAACTAATGGAAAGGGAAGGTGGGTTAGCACACTCCCCTACCAAGCCTATCAGGCCAACCATCACTCACTGCCGCCAACCATCCGCCCCGGAACATGCAAAAATGACAGCCGCACCATTGTGAAAGTGAGTGATGGACAGCACAAGGCCCGCTCATGATTGGTATTGGCAAATGCTATTCTGATCAATAGTTGTGTTGGGTTGGGGTTTGGGCTGTAGCGCTTTCCCCGCCTGCCCCGGACATCGAGCAAGAGCTACCGAGGTGTGCACCAAAAACTCGCCTGCTTGGGTCCCAATTGCCTCAACTGGCAACTGGAGACGTGCCCGGTACGGAGCCGAGAAGGAAATGCAGAAGACGATGGGAAATGACGAATGGGGTTGGGTATGGGCAGAACTGGATATTCGAAGCAGGACCGACCGAGCAGCCCGCGAAGGTGGAAGACCGAAAATGAGCGGGAATTGGGATGTGACCCAAAAAGATATCCGGTCCCTGAGACATCCCTGCCGCTCATCCATGCACCTCATCGTGTCCCCCGAGGGGATGAGAGGTTCCATTCCCACGCTGTCGTCTTTCACATCCCGACCGTTCGCCACGGGCTAATGTTCCTCCCAAGTCCCAACCCTTCCCACGTTCGGTTCCTAGACTTAAGGTATGTACAGGGCTCCCGGTCTCTCTCCCTCGGTACAACGCCCTTACAGTGGGCTCGCTTGCTGTACCGCTTTTGCTCAGTCGATATGGTTTTACTCAACCTGACCTCGCACTGACGTTATGGAGCTATTCCCGCTAAGAGTAAAAACACCGGCTATGGAACTGTTGTATTTTTTTTGCCATGCAACTCGAATGGTCATTTTTTCTTTTCACATCCCAAGTTCGGGCCCCACGCTGATCATGATCCACGGGGCACCAGCACAAGTCGGCTCTACCCATTCTTGCCATGGGGTTCCCTTCTTTTCGCAGAGACTGTCAGAGATCGCGACGGGTCTTGGTGGTTGATAGTGGCTGCAGTACTTTTTCCTTTTTCTGACTTTTTGGCCTCCCTCGAGACTTCACTGCGGTCACACAACAGCAGCTGACTACTGACTAGATCTCCAATGGATTCACATCAAGTCTCTCCCGCCTTGAAACAACAACAAGCCATTGTCTGAGGCGAATAGGGTTTTCTGTTTTGAGAAGAGACTTACTCACTCGCTACTCGCTTCTTTCTCCTCCACTCCCTTACACCGGTTGCATATCTCCAGACTCCTGTCGTTCATCTTCCACTTCACCAATAAGTCTCCGAACTTCCACAACATACTGAGGTACTCTCCCGTCATCGATACGTAAAGCCAAGCTGGCCAAGCCGTTGTATTCCACAACATCTCCTTTATCATTTCCCCCTTCCAACAACGTCCAACCCGCTCCATATACGTGGAGGCCGGTGAATGCAAATCCTCAAGGACAACGGCTTGGGGAGAGTCCGGAGCATAAGATCCTCCGCAGGGCGGACCGGCGGAGTGGGTGCCGTGCGTGGACTACGGACCAGTCAAATCACCCTTTCCCTTTTTTGACCAGGACCGAAATTAAGGTCGTTAATGGATGTCCATCTTGGTCCATCGACCCCATGGAGCCTTTGAGTACCTAGTGCAGGTACATCGAGAGGGTCAGAAGCTAGTGGACACAGCCTGATGCTAAAAGATAGCACACGCCCAAGCCGTGAGAATATCCTCTCCATTTTCAAAAGACCCATGAACCCCTTGTTTTCCCCCAGTGCCCAAGTTCCCAAGGCCTAGAGCATTGCAACAAAAGACTGAACGTGTCGAGCACGAGACATCCCTGTATGTTCGTTAGCGCCTCATTCCGTTTTCATCTTTCAGTCCCTACCCCCAGCACGAATGTCGATGTTGATGTCGTACTTCGCTTCTCCAGACCACATAATCAACTTAAGACATTTTTTGGTCTTCTTTGCTTCTTGTCACCTTCTTCGCTCGCTTACATATCCCAAATTCTTTTTAACCCTCCTCGGTACTTAGTTTCTCCCCTCTTTCTCCACGGTCAATGTTAGTTCTCCGCGGTCCCGAACCCCCCAGACACTTTTGCCTGGCCAGGCATGTGTGACTAGGCTACCCTAATATGTATGTGTAGGGCCTGACTTTGAGACAGATATACGATAGCGTCCGTTATTTGTCTTTGCCTCCTCCGTGTGTACATGTGCCTAGAGCTAGTTAGGTACATATTACACAAATCTGTTGTCGAAGGCGGTCTTGATTCAGTTCCTTACTTTTATTTATTTGTTCTCTTTCAGCTCTCCTGTCCGTATGTCTTCGCACTGTAGCCTCGTGGGCAGCATCGCTTATTTATTAGATCTTCTACATCTTCCATTCTTCGGGTTGAGAGGAAACTAAAGGCAAAGAACATGAACAAATGAAGAGAAAGAAGCCCGATTTTCCCCGAATTTTATTCGTTGACAATCTAATGCTGGTTTGTTTATTAGCTCAGTACTTCTAATACACTAGACGAGATACATCCTACACTACCCCAAATCTCACAAGAACAAGACGAATTGGCTAGGTACGAATTCGAAAGGCATGAGCGAAAGTCAAAATGTCATATGCAAGGTAAAATATGCTTTAGTTATAGGACGCAACAAGTCAAATAGACATCCGAACGCCTAGGAAGGTTGACCAGAGGTCTCGAACTAACAAACAAACTGGTATTGGACTGTACACACCGCTTGAGGTCATGTTCCCATCGTCAAGCCCGCTTCCAACTCATGCCACTTCTTGTCTCTCACAACCGGCCAGCGAAATCTACCCAAGCATTCGTAAGCCGAACCACAGGCTGTGTCCGGTACTGTATGCCTGCCTGCCTGTCTGCCACCGTTTCTGTCGCCATTCCTGTCACACAACCAGCACTACTCTTCCCAAGACATGGAATGACAACAACACCCGCGCCGCGCCGCCTCAGATTAGGCCTGGTCAAGGGACCAGCCAGCGGACGGGCGGGCATATAATGTCCACCGCCTAGCCCTCTACCACAACGGGGAGCTCTACAGTCACCTATGCCCCTGCAGGTGGTCTTATGGCGTAGTGGTTACCGTTGATGAATAATTCAGCGTGGCGGTTTTCGTAAAATCGCAGCTGGCGGATTGTCGATTCTTCTACAAGCGTATCTGCGTGACTTACCCCCCCTCTCCCTTTTTTTTTTTTT